ATGCGATATGCATACCAAATATTTCTTAATTTAGTTTAAATTGTTTGAGGCCAAATATATACCAAGGAATTAAATAGACATTTAGCCACTTGACCTTGAACATTACAGACTTGTCCTTGACCAATGGTTATGTAATGCTGTTTATGAACTATATATTTTCTTATTTAATATTGTCTAATTCAGAGACTTCCTATAACCTGCAACTTTTAGCATATTTAACTTCATTAACGTCACTACAATGTTCATTTTGAATACAAAACATAGCAACATAGAGGTTTTGGTCTGGTCAGGTTTGGTTCAAATTGCAAATAGGTTTTGACAACAACACTTTGAGAACAACACATATTTAACAACACTACTTAAATATACAATATATGCAGCAAAAATTATTATACATAGTAATATAGATGTTTTGGTCTGGTGTGATAACAACAACTATGCAGCACAATTTGAGATTTATTAATGCAAACTATTAGGATATCATTGTATTATTATCATTAAATAGTCTTGGTTGTATATATATCATTCAAAATCAATAGAAAGGCAAGGCCTATCATTCCAATATAGTATCAGTAAGCATTAGGTACTGATCCTACACCCTAATCCTTGTGCCACCGCTCTTCTCACATAACCAGCTGCGCAACCTTCCTCTTTCTCTCATTTCACCCACGCTTCTCTCATCAGATTTCTTTCTCTCATCATGAGCACCGACCAATCATCTTCCACCAAACATTCATCCCCTTCCAAAAACTCTGAAACCACGCAGAATACCAATCCTCCCACTCATCCCGCATTCACCATCTCTAACATCACCAACTTTATCAAAATTACCCTAAGTATTGAAAAGGGTCAATATAACACCTGATCTGAACTCTTCAAAATCCATGCTCGTGTTCACCAAGTCATTGATCATATCATTCCAACCGAAACCACATCCTCTTCTAATCTCAAAGACACCAACCCTACTCTTTGGGCACGTCTTGATGTTGTTGTCCTTCAATGGATTTATGGCACAATTTCTGATGATCTTCTCCACACCATCATTGAGCGCGATTCAACCGCAGAAAATGCATGGAACAGGCTATTCAACATTTTTTATGACAATAAAAATTCTAGGGCTCTCTACCTCGAGCAAGAATTTTCTAATGTTCATATGGAGCAATTTCCAGATGCCTCCACCTATTGTCAACATCTCAAATCCCTATCTGATCAACTCTCTAATGTCGGTGCTCCCGTGTCTAACGAAAGACTTGTTCTTCAACTCATTTCTGGCCTGACAGATGCGTATGCCACGGTGGGTTCACAAATCCGTCATGGAGACTCTCTTCCACCTTTTTACTAAGCTCGTTCTATGATAATATTGGAAGAAACAGCCAAAGCAAAGAAAGCAACAAATTCTAGCAGCAACTCTGCTTTCGTATCATCTCTTGATGATACCGCGGCCTCAACCACTCTATCTCAACAGCATAACAATCGCAATAACAATGGTGCTAGTCGTGGTGGCCGAAGTAATGGCCGCGGTGGAGGTCGTGGCAGGAGCAGAAGCAATGGTCGTGGTGGAGGTCGTTCCCAGCCACAGCCACATCAGTGGCGTCAGTCTCCCTATCAGCAACCTCAGTGGACCACTCCCACTTATCCCAGACAGCAGCAACAGTGGGCATATCCATGGCAGCCATGGGCCACTCCACCATGTCCATATCCGACAACGGTTTCTCCCCGTCAACAATCAGGCATACTCGGTCCTAAACCTCAGCAAGCTAACATGGCAACTGCTCCACCTCACATGAACAATCAGCAAAGTTCCTCTTCTTATGCTCCGACAAACATCCAAGCTGCTATGCATACTTTCTCCATCTCTCCTCCTGATGATCAATGGTATATGGACACGGAGCGACTTCTCATATGACGGGCAATGAAGGTAATCTCACATCTTATTTTAATATGAGTAATAATATTACTGTTGGCAGTGGTCATCATATACCTGTAATTGGTTGTGGTCATACATCTTTACCCAATTCCATAACCTTAAACAATGTTTTGCATGCACCGAAACTTATCAAAAACCTTGTTTCTGTTAGAAAATTTACAATCGATAATGATGTTTCTGTTGAATTTGATTATCTCGGTTTTTCTGTAAAGGATTTTCAGACAGGAACGCTTTTAATGAGATGTAATAGTTCTGGCGACCTCTACCCTATTCCCACAAAACCAAACACAACAGCACTACCACCATCCGCCTTTGCTGCTTCATCTAACGAGTTATGGCATAGTCGTTTAGGACATCCAGGAGCTCCTATCTTAAATTCTCTTCATCGAAACAAACTTTTGCTATGTAACAAGTTTCGAAATGATTTCTTTTGTCACTCTTGTCCACTTGGGAAAAAAAATAAAATTGCCCTTTTATAATTCCTTATCATTTACTTGTATGCCTTTTGACATTGTTCATAGCGATCTTTGGACGTCTCCGGTATTAAGCTCCGGAGGGCATCGTTACTATGTTTTATTTCTTGATGATTTTACTAATTTTTTGTGGACTTTTCCAGTGTCAAACAAATCACAAGTATATTCCATTTTCTTACAATTCCGTGCTCACGTTAAAACACAATTTGAACGTGAAATAAAATTTTTTCAATGTGACAATGGAAAGGAATACGATAATGCTCTCTTTCATAAGTTTTGTGAACAAAATGGAATGTCTTTTCGATTCTCTTGTCCTCATACCTCCCCACAAAATGGAAAAGCCAAAAGAAAATTCGTATAATCAATAATATAATCTGAACCCTCCTTGCCCATGCTTCTATTCCACCGGTTTTCTGGCACCATGCTCTCCAAATGGCCACTTACCTACACAACATACTTCCAAATAAGAAACTCACTCTCCAATTGTTGTACCCCAAAATTTGACCGACCTCTCTGGCTTATGTTTTATTTCATTGCATCAGCACATACATAAGCATTGCATTGCATAGCATTTTGCATTTCACAGGGGATCAAGAAATGTGTGTCTAACCAAGATTACTGATGGTTTTTAACCTGATCAAGGAGGTTATATTCAAGTCACCAAGTGGTTACCCTTATCGAAGACAAGTCGAGGTCCTTAAAGACAAACAGATAAGCATATGTGATTGTCAGGGGCAGAAAAAATAAAAAAAATATGTTGTTCCCACTCATCGTCCAATTTCGTGTAAGGTTGAAATACTCGCGTATAGGGTATATGCCTGAGGATCCAATTAAGGTTTCTACTTATGCGAGTTGTCGGGTGGCGCTAAATTCAGACGATTCACGGCTGAGAAATCACCAAAGATCAGTTCATTTTCAGTTAGAGCCTTAGGCTCTGTAGTGCACGTCTCAGGCCATTATCTTTTGATTTAGAGACACTTATTGCTCATTTGGTTCCTGGTGAAGGGGTTATTTACATCAGTGCACGCAACAAAGTTTGGAAATTGATTCAGTGATGGACTCATGTCAATATAAGATTCTATTTCACTTCAATTTTAAGGTATTTCGGGCATAAATCAAAAGTGTGAGAGGTGGAGGTGCAAAGCAAAGTGTACACAGGCTCAATAGCATTTTATTCAAAGTCATTGAATTTATGATGAGGATCCAAATTACCCAAATTTTATTCATAAAAAAAAACACACATACAATTATAGCCTGTGTCATTACAAAATCCCACAATTATAATCCCGTTAGTCCATACAAATTCCCTTTCCATACACTTGAAACCCGTTTCCTTCTATCCAACTCATTCACACTTACGGTAAAAAAAAAAAAAAAAAGAACTATCACCAAATCCATGTTACAAAATTGTTAAGCCAAGTCCACATGATTTTTCACTCAAGTCCATTACATTTACAATTAAGAGAAAATTGAAAAAATTTCTACATAGGTACAATCACAACTTGCCATGACCCCACCATGTCACTACAAACCAAAGCAATTTTGTAGCAAAAAAAAAACAGGCCACGCGCACCAACATTTACTGCCAAACGTACTACCTGTTGTTACCACTCCAACAAGAACCTGCTGCAACAAAAATTGTTAAAACAATTACAAGTTACAAATTCATTCAAACCCTATACAATTCAGTCTTAGCTACAAATGATAAAATTAATGAAAATACTAGGAAACAAATCTTTGTTAAACTTCTCCTAAGCATTGACCGTAGGGAAACATCAGAAACAGGCTCTGGAAAAACAACTCAGGTTCCACAATTCATATTGGATGTGATGATTGAGTCAAGACATGGTGGACAGTGTAATCTTATTTGCACTCAACCAAAGAGAATAGCGGCTATTTCTGTGGCTAAAAAAGTAGCTGATGAGCGGTGTGCACCTTCACCGGGTTCTGATGGCTCCTTGATCGGTTATCAAGTTCGTCTTGATAGTGCCAGGAATGAGAAAGCAAGGCTTCTGTTCTGTACAACAGGCATCCTTCTGAGAAAATTGATGAGGAACCGAAGCTTGACGGGTATTACTCATCTCATAGTTGATGAAGTTCATGAGAGATCTTTATTGGGTGATTTTATTCTAATTGTGTTGAAGAATCTAATTGAGAGACAGTCCAGTGAAGGCTCTTCAAAAGCCAAAGTCATTCTGATGTCGGCGACTGTTGGATTCAAGTTCATTTCAAAAAATACTTCGGTTATTGCCCTGTGGTTACTGCAGAAGGCAGGACTCATCCAGTGACGACATACTTTCTTGAGGATATACATGATCAGATTAATTATAGACTGGCTTCAGATTCACCAACTTCTTTGGCAAATGAAGCATTTTCTAAAGGACAGAACTTGCAAAGAGCGTCTGTGACAAATAGCAGAGGGAAGAAGAATCCAGCCTTATCTGCATGGGGTGATGAGTCTTCACTCTCTGAGGAGCATTTTGATCCACATTTTGCTCCCAGTTATTATCAGACATTCAGTGAACAAGCCCAAAAAAATCTATAAAAAAAAGGTAAAGATAGTGGAAGAACTTTGGTGAAACCTGTGGAAAAAGAACAACATGCTAGATTCTGCAACTTCCTATGTTTCTGACTCTTTACTTGAGGATGTTCCTCACTTGTCTGATTACATCCCTGATCTTCCTACATATCCTGGCCCATTACAAGATAATCCTTCTTATGCAGTTGTCAAACAGTATTTTGTGAATTCAGATGATACCGTTGCGCAACAGATAGTTGTTCATAAAAATAGTCCAAGAGGGACCGTTTTTTGACGCGCTGGACCTGCTCAGAAGGTATATTTTGATTCAAAGGAAGTGTATGCTTGTATTGTTACATGTGGTGGTCTTTGTCCTGGTTTGAATACAGTGATAAGAGAATTAGTTTGTGGATTATACCATATGTATGGAGTGCACAAAGTTTTGGGAATAGAGGGAGGATATAGAGGTTTTTACTCGAGAAACACAATTCCTTTAACACCAAAGATTGTTAATGATATACACAAACGCGGTGGAACCATTTTGAAGACATCGTATGGAGGACATGATACCTCAAAGATTGTTGACAGCATTCAGGATCGAGGCATTAATCAGGTTTATATACTCGGGGGATTTGGAACTCAAAACGAAGCAGCTTTGATTTTTGAGGAAATTAGAAGACGAGGATTGAAAGTTGCGGTGGTTGGAATTCCGAAAACTATTGATAATGATATTCCTGTTATTGACAAGTCGATTGGTTTTGACACCGCTGTTGAAGAGGCGCAAAGGGCTATTAATTCTGCTCATGTTGAAGCAGAGAGTGCTGAGAATGGCATTGGTGTTGTGAAGTTAATGGGGCGTTGCAGTGGATTTATAGCCATGTACGCAACTCTTGCGAGCCGAGATGTGGACTGTTGTTTGATTCCGGAATCACCGTTTTACCTTGAGGGACCAGGAGGAGTATTGGAGTTCATTGAGAAAAGATTGAGAGAACAAGGACACATGGTTATAGTAATAGCAGAAGGTGCAGGTCAGGAGCTAATTCTTCCTAGTGACAAATCTAATAAGAATAGGCCAGATGCTGCTTCAGATGACTTGTTTCATGATGTTGGTCTTTGGTTATCCCTGAAAATTAAGGATCATTTTGCAAGAAGTAAAAATGGCTATAAAATTGAAGTACATTGATCCTACTTACATGATCCGTGCTATTCCAAGTAATGCGTCTGATAATGTGTTTTGTACCTTACTTGCTCAAAGTGCTGTTCATGATGCAATGGCTGGATACACAGGCTTCACAGTTGGCCCAGTTAATGGCAGAAACTGTTATATTCCATTTCATCTTATAAATGAGGGACAGAAGAGAGTTGTGATTACAGACCGGATGTGGGCAAGGTTACTATCCTCCACCCATCAGCCCAGTTTTGTGAATCCTCAACATACAGAAGAAGCAAAAGCAGAATGAACAGAACACTCAGAAGTTCTGTCTCATATCAAAGGTGCACTTCTTCATTCAGTTTCAGAAGATATTAGAAGACAAGTTTTGACATATGGTGATAGGAAACCTGTGGAGGATTTTTTTTTGAAAGTTGTGGACCTCGCGAAATGTTGATTATGAAGTAATCTCAGTAAATCGCCATGTTGATGTTGAACTAAGTCAGCTTTGAAAAAACCAGCACCTTGAGATTAGTCAACAGATTTGCCAAAACATCCTGAGGTTCACTGACGGATTTATCACCATTGTTAGCACCATCGACTTGTGACTGGAGATGACTGTCAACAAAAAGAATTTCATAAGCATTTCATCAATAAACAGATTAGCCACATCGTTCACAAAATGAAGGATCAGCATGAGAATACGGCACGGTCAGAGTTAGGCAAAACAATGCAAATTCAAATGACTCAAAGTTTAAGTCACGTTTCACCATAGTGTTTATTTAAGTCAGAATTTTGAATATACACTTTGTTTTAATCAGAACAACAAAACAATGAGAAAGTGGGACCACACACTTATGTTAGCAAAAATGGCAAAAACACCAGCAGCAGAAGATCCATAGCAGGTTTAAATACAAAAACGGAATAAAACAAACCATGGCAAAAAACACAACCATGATGGAGCAGAGGTCTCAGAAATTGTGGCAGAGGTTGTCTGCTAAACCTAACTGGATTGGGCATATATATAGCAACACTATTCACTCAAAAAAGGGAGGAAGAAGAGAAAAAAACCCTAACCATTGCAGCCGCCACCCATCAGCTTCTTGACATCTTCCTCATCACACAAACTTCATGAACTCACTCAGGAATCAAACCACACAAAGCTCACTAAGCCATTTCCAATCTCACTCATTTCCTTTCTGAAACCCACACGCTATCCATATTTCCTCAGACTCACCATTTTTTTTTCCGATCCATCTCAGAAATCAAAACCAAATCCAGACGCGGACCTCTTATTCCGTTCCTTCCGTTTTCGACGGCAACCCCTAACCACAAGCATAACACAGCTTAATCCTAAATCCTAAAATAGATTCAGAACCAGGATTGAGGCTGAGAAAATAAAGTTGACGAAGAGGTGGAGCGACTCGTGAAGAATGTGTTTGTAACGCCATTTCAATTCCACCTCGTTTCCGTCCTCGGACCTCACTCTGAGTTTGAGCTTCGACAAAGGTAGTTTTACTGTTCATACCGTTTTCAGCTTGCTTTGAATGCACTGTGTTTTGATGGGTTCATGACCCGTTTTGTTGTCCAAAGAGTTCTTTCTGAGGCGATGGACTTTGGATCCCATGTGACCCTCACCATCGTTTACACATCCGTTTCTATTCCAAACCCACCATGCTTCCTATTTGATTTTATTTTATTAGCCTGTATATTATTATTATTTGTTATTTCTATTATAGTTTATATGTAAATATATTGTGTTTTGTTAGGTTATATATATAATATATATTTTGTTATTTCCTTTTAAAAAAAGGTTTTTTAGTAATATTCTTTTGGTTAACTTTTGCTTTTATTTTACTTAAAAATTTGTTATTATGTATTTTTATTTATAACTTTTTTTATGTAGAGTTATATTTTATTTTCCTTTTAAGTTGGATTTCAGCTTGCATTTGCTTTTTGCCTTGTTTTATTTTGCCCAGTTTTTCTTGTTATTGGTTGCCTCATATGATGTTTGGGGTGGCTTAATACTTGGATGTAACAGCCACCCCAGTGGTAGACCATGCGCCTTTCATTACCCAGTACTTGGGTTCGAATCCTGCTGAGGATCAAAACCCTTTTATTTCTTTTTCTTTCCTTTCCTTACTGCTTTGTTCTTTGCTTTTCTCTTTCTCTTCCGTTTACGTTTCACACGCGCGCTTAGTGGCCTGGTGGTTAGTTTACTTTCTTTGTGAACTTAAGAGCATGGGTTCAACTCTTGGCATGACCATTTTTTGGTCCTTGTTATTTATTGATCCCTATTTCTCATACAAAGTCCCAAAATTCATAACTTTAACATACTTCAATATTTTTGATCCATTCTTTTTTTAAAAATTTATTCACAATAATGACTATTTTCATTTAATGAAATACATTTCATATTGGTAGTATTCTCAAGACCCTTGGCTCACTTGAATTTTGGTCCTCCGTTGGGTTCGTTACTTTGCATCTGAAAATATTTTCAAATCATCTTGTAAATAAATTCTTCGTGTTGAATTAAAAAGAGAGGATTGGGTGTAGACCTCTTCTTCTTCGAGTGTTGAGATGCCCACTGTAGTGAGGGTGGTTTCGACACTCGTCTTTCAATACGAAGACGCTTCTAAACTTTTCTCTCCTAAAAAACCTCGGTCCTGTACCGAGTGCATTTTCAAATCTTTTCATAACAAAAACTTGAATGGTCGTGGAGTGGTTAGGCGTAGGCCTTCTCCTATCCCGAGTGCTGACGTTTACCGTAGGGTTCTCTGTCGCAAAGCACTTACCATTCAAAACCAAAAACATCTTTAATAAGAGAACGAAGTTCTCTTTGCATTGAATTAAAGAGAGAGGATTGGGTGTAGACCTCTTCTTCTCCGAGCGTAGGGATGCCCACTGTAGTGAGGGTGGTTTCGACGCTCGCCTTTCAATACGAAGACGCTACGTTCTCCACACCTTTTCATAACAAAAACTTTGAGATAAAGAATTGGGTACTACCCGTAGGGGTTACTATCCGAGGACCTATCTCGCCCCTAAAAATAATCCAATCAATCAAACGTGACTTCTTGCCCCGCGTGGCGAAGACTAATCAATCTTTCAAAAGGATATGTTACGTCCGTTCTACCGCAAACAGGTACGCATAAGTCTCCTCACATGCGAGCAGCAAAACACCTAACTGCTAGAATGCGCACGATAATATCATCCATAAAAAAACATCAACACACCGTAGGCCGAACTACGGCTGCTCTGATTCTTTACTTCTTTTTGAGTAAAGATACGTAGGCACAAGGGCCACAATCCTTGCCGAGCATTTTCCCCCCATATCTGTAGTTCCCCGAACTACGTCGACTCTGACTTTCTCACATCTATTGAGAATACGTAGGCATAGGACTGCGAAGTCCTACCGAGTCTGTTATTTTTCTTCTTCCCCCCGTTATTTCTCTATCCCTCCTTTCTTCGTTTCTAAACCCTTCTCTCTATCTTTTAGAACACTCTTTTTATAGCATAATATTTAAGCAGATAAATTCACACATCGACAAACAAAAGGTTCCCATCGAGTACGATGGATGCGAGGGGTGCTAACACCTTCCCCTTGCATAACCGGCTTCCGAACCCGTTCTTGGCCGCGAGACCATCTTATCCATTTTCTTTCTCAAGGTTTTCTCGATATTTTCCTTTCCCCTCACGGGATGAATAAAGTTCGGTGGCAACTCTTCTGTCTATCTTTTTCGCCTCCCCGTCGTTGCACGATGCATTTTTCGAGTAGCGACAGCTGGCGACTCTGCTGGGGATTCCTGGCGAGCCAAGCCTAATTTGTTTTTCGTATTTATGTTTTATTTGCTTTATTTGTTTATGCGTTGTTCTCTAACCTGTTGGGTTCATTTGGGTTGGTTTGTGAGGATAAAGCTTTCTACCCGAGCTTTCGAGTATGCACTAAGATTAGGAGGTGGTTTCTTTCTGATTTGCGAGACTTAGGACTCGTTGAGTTGGATCGAATTCCACCGCTCAGATGAGACCCCGTTGGAATAATTATGCCCCACGTGTAGTCGTAACGGCATTCTTATTTCCGGCTTGGGAGTCTGTGATTTTGGGGACCTTTTGTAGAACCTTATTCCGAAGGTTGCTAAAACATAACT